GATTCTAAAAGATTGGAAGATGCTGCCACCTGTGATTCTTTTGATTCTTGAGAACTTGAGGGAGCTCAACGTGAAGTTTACTGACATTTGGTGCTGTTGATTTCCTCATTTGTCCTTTGAATTACCGTACTCTTCCGTGTATAAGATGATGTTTTTTTTAACTTAAAACAATGCTTAAAAATTGGGGTCATCTTATACATGGGTAGTGCAGAGGGGGGGCAGTGGAAATGATTTCTTTCTTAAGTAGTAGATTGTCACTGGCGTTATTGCGGGTGATAGGCTTCTGAAGCAATGTCCGCTTGCGATTGGATGCTGCTGCGACAATGTCCGCTTGCAACTGGGCGCGGCTGCCACAATGTCCACTTGTGATTGGTCACTGTGTGAGAATGTCCACTGGCAATTGGTCACTGCTGCAGCAATGGCTGCTGGTTATTGGGCTCTGCTGTAGCAATTGGGTGTGTGATTGGCGGCTGCTGGTGTCGATTGCAAATAGATAGGAGGCTTCTGCGTTGTGTTCAATTGCAAGCGTTTGGAATTTGGGTGAGCTTTTTTTGGCATTCCTCCCATTCTAGACAATCTCCCCCCATTTTCTTAATATTGAGTCCCCAAAATTAGGGGGCGTCTTATCCATGGGGGCATCTTATAGACGGAAAAGTACGGTACATATCTTCACAGTGGTTGGTTTTGTTTTAAATCTAATTTTGGATTGTTTAGTTTGATTTCCTATAGTGCAGCCTTTGCCAACCTGGTGCCCTTCAGATGTTTTGGACTACAACTCCCAGCATTGGCTACACTTTCCAGTGCATTTCTCCATTATTTCCCAAATCACAAGAAGCCTGATCTTTTGGGGAAGTGGGTTTCTTGTGCAAATTCCAATCAACTATAATTGTGCACCTGAACCTGCGATTGAATCCCATCCAAAAATAAGGGCAGTCTGGGAGGGTCTTTAGTTGAGCTGGGGAGTGAATAGGAAAGTTTACACTACTACTAAGAACTGTCCAGCAATATACCACTTGAGGGAAGCTTCCAGTTTCTGAACTATGGATGACTGGTTTATTTAGAGAAATTATTATTATTATTATTATTAATACTCCACCCATCTGGCTGCGTTTCCCTATAGGGTTGCATCCAACATAGTGCTAAAGATTCTCCTGCATGATGGAACATTCCCTCCTAAATCTATTCTAGGAGTTTCCCCCCACTCCCTGGAGCAGATTTTGGGAGGCGACATGGCACTCATGAAGGGAGAAGAAGGGGAAAGTCCCATTGCTGAAGCAGAAATCCTTGACCTGATGGTACTTGTTAGTTGAACACTAATCAGCCATTGATTGGATTATATGTTTTCTGCTTTTCTACAAATTTGTCTCCAAAGCATCAAAAGAATAGCAATTAAATATAAAAAAGCATTGGGAACAGTTAAAAATAATCATAATATCCATAAGTAAATGCAGTGCTTTTTTCCTTTCAAAATATTTAGGGGTACTCTCATTTTGACTCAAGAAAATCATCATTTTATAGTTCAAATCTGGAAAAATAAATATAGTAAATGGAGAAAAGTGCAAAGATCCACAAAATGTTTAGGGGTATGCGTACCCCTGCTTACCCCCAGAAAAAAGCACTGACTAAATGCATCATAAAAACAGTCTGTACAACCTTGTGTAGCATAGAAATAAAACCAACCTTACAACTGGGCAGGAGAGAATAAAGCTCAACACAGAATAAAATCATTGCAATCTATGAAACCTGAGGGTATAGGGCCGTATAATAATAATAATAATAATAATAGCCATGCCAGAGGGCACTAACTCAGTTGTTAGCATGGCAGTGAGGAAGGTGAGTAGGTCTGCCTGCAGTGTCCCCAGCAGACTAGGTGACTATGGCCCAATGACAACATTGGGCCAGCGTGAACTAGCCTCCTTGCTCCTCTCTACTGCTTGTGGCAGTGCCCTCAACATGGGCTAGGTCTCCACTGTTAGATATGCCAGGCTGTCACCATTTGGGCCCTCTGTGCTGCAAGTATGGCTATCCTACATACAAATGACCTAGGCCACTGGGTGCTGTGTGCTCACGGAGGTGAAATGGCGAGGGCTCTTTCCTTGCCGAGACAGAATCATAAATCACTAGCAGTATTGATTGCCTTGCCCCATCAACGTCATTTATGACTGAAACCAGTAAACTTTAATTAATTTGTGCTTTATTTCAAGGACTGTTGACTTTTCCAAAATGTTAATGGGGACTTAAAAAAGGATGAATAAAATGTGAGGATAATCAATGTGTGCACAGGTGCTCCTGCATTAAAGATATATATCCATCAGTGATGCAAGTAAAAACCTATATGAATTATTCCATGTCTGAAATAAAAATTATGCTGTGTTGTAATGGGAAGGGCTTCTCAAATGCCCCTTTCTGCTTTACCTCTTGATTGCAGTTCCAATAAGTACTTTGCATTTATTTTATTGTTTTAGGTAATGGTGAGTCCATTTCTAAGTAATGCCTAAGAGGAGGAAATAATATTTCAACGGGTGATGCAGTACAGCAGTATTTTATTTTCCAAGGGAGAATCCCATGTGCTCTGTGTGTTTGAAACTACTGACAGTCATGAGTTTATCCTATAGGACAGTGATTTTCAACCAATGTGCCGTGGCACCCTCGGGTGCCTTGAATGATGGTCAGGGGTGCCACAGGCAACATTGGCCTCTGTCCCTTTCCTCCCCTCCCTCCTCTGATGCCCTCTTGCATCTCTGCCTCCCAAAGGCTTGCACAACTGTTTGTTGCAGCTGCCCTGGATACAAGCTCCCCAGGCGAAAGGTGCCTCTGGGGTTGGCCATGGGGTGCTTCCCAGGCCCCTGTGGGGCAGTGTGAGGGGGCACCTCTCTTGGGGGGGCAACTCAGAGACCAGGGGTGGCAGCAGTGGCTGCCCAGGACTCCCAAGAAGAGGGGAGAGGAGAGGAGGCTGAGGGAACACTCCACAAGGAATGGTGTTTGAAAAAGGATGAGAGGCTGCCAGTTCTGCAGGCAAGGGGTGACAGAATTCGGCTCCTGAGCCCCACAGGGGTGCCAGAGAAAGAATGCAGTTGGTCAAGGGAGCCGTGGACCCAAAAAGGTTGAAAACCTCTGCTATAGGATAATGTGTGGGTTGTGGAAGTTTGGTAAGTAGCAGGTGTTACTGTGGGAACAGAATACGTTTCCTGAGAGATGTGCCATAAATATCAGCACTCCTTTTCCTGTTAATTGCCACCATGCAACTAGATTGCTTGTTTGGAAAAGCTAAATGTGGGCGGCTCACTGAGAAAGGGATTTCAATTTGCATTGAGGAGATCCATTAACTGGCCATTTCAGGGCACTGGCAAAGGGAAGCTGCTTGGCTCAAAGCACTGGGAGACCAACTGACAACAACACATTAAAGGGACTTAGCTGGCCACCAGCACCCATTCACAACCGCCAGGATTAGAAACCTCCATCCAAATTGTGCCTATGCAACTCCCTACATGTTGCACCTGGAACCCATGGTGGGAATACTTTGATCCTACTAGCAACTTGAATGCTGCTGCTTCTCCTTTTTGACCTAGGAAAACTTGCCCCTTGACTAACCAACCCCTTAAGAAGGGATCCATGTGTGAGTGAGTGAGTGAGTGTATGTATAGTTTATTCATTAGTGTATGTATAGTTTATTCATTGAATTTTCAAAAAGAAAACAACAGATATAGTCAAACAATAGAAACTAAATCATAATAAACCTAGACAATGTGTCCTATGCATAAAAGTAAGAAGGTGAGCGGGGCTGTGTGTTGTATATTTCTCCTTCCAGCATTGAATTGTTAGACACTTAGCCACCAAGAGCGCCCTTACAAACCAGTTCAATTGCCCCTCTGTAAAATCTCAAGGACGTATCCAAAATCATATGCACAAAGCTGTGGCTGTGAATCTAGCACAAGACCAAATCATGTGGCAGAGCATTGCATGTGAGACATTACAACACCAGCACCTGTCAGCACAAGTTAAATTTTTTCTTGAAGGGATAGTGTGGAGTCTGAAAATAAAATTGAACTCTGAAAATAACGTTTTGTTGCATCAAGCGCAGTTCAATATATGCGGAAATATATATTGTCCTGACAGAGGACAATGTTTTGTTTCATCTTTGAATATGAACTGGATGCTCTACTTCACCACTCCACTCTGAGTGCCTTTAGATCTGGTTTAAAACTAGTCTGGGTTTGGTAAAGACATATATCACTTGTTTAGGGTTTTGATTAAGAACTCTTAAGTCCCCCAACAATGCAGGTAGTGCTTCAGGGCCAAATTTGATAACATATGTATGTTTTAATTGGCGATCTAGCTCTTTCAGCTGATGGGAGGGAGTGTGCTTCACTCAGGTTAGAAAAAGGGAGAATTTCATCATTTTTATCCAGTCAGTTAATTTAAGGCAAACACACCTGCACCATCCCATTTCTCCCCAAAAGTACCCACCAATTCTGGCCTAGGGTTAAACCCGGCAACCTGTTTATCTTATTATCATTATTATTTATTACATTTTTATACCGCCCTTCATCTGAAGATCACAGGGTGGTTCACAACATAAAAATACAAAAAAGAGAACAAAAAATGCATAATAAAACCAAAACAAAGCCCCTCTCCCACAAACACATTTAAAAGACCATGGGATGTTAATCAGCCAAAGGCCTGGTTATGGATATTATTGTTTATTAAATTACATCTTGTGCATATGGATCAAATCCTAATTTTTGTGTCAGCCTGTTCCAGGTCTCATCAGTGCTGCCACAGTCATCACCACTGGCTTTTCCCACACACGACATCTAGTAAACAGCTTTACATGGTTCTCTAAAGCACCTGAGGTTTGGGCTTTATTGGCCACCGGCTATCAATTCGGTAGGCTTTGGCTCAGCCAAATTTTTCATTTCCTTGCCAATGCACAGAATCATAGAACTGGAAGACACCACAAAGGTCATCTAGTCCAACCCCCTGAAACGCAAGTATCTTTTTGCCCAACATGGGGCTTGAACCCATTGCCCTCAGATTAAGAGTCTCACGCTCTTCCACCAGAGCTACACAATTGGGGGCACACTTTAAGCCGCCCAATAATGCACTGAAGTCACATCTCTACCTGCCCCACACCTTGTGTCTCATATGATGTGGGGTAGGTGGGTGTGGTTTGGGGGGGAACGGCCTCACGGACCAAATTTGAAGCCCTGTTGGGCCAAGTTGGGCCCAAAAACCAGAGGTTCCCCACCCCTGCTCTAGAATGGGGATGGGGAGCCTGTGGTCATCGTGGCTGAGTCCAACAACATTTGGAGGGCCTGAGATGCCCTATCCAGAAGGCAGGCACTGAGTCTGGGTTTAAATTTAATAAGATATCCAACAAAGTGTAGCAGCATGTAGATTGGGGGGGGGGATAAGGAGAAGATTAGCTGGGCATTGAGAAGTGGTGTGAACTAATTTAGCTTTCTGGCTGCCATGCAGATTACAAAACCAGGAGGGAGTATCAGGCCTACAGTCTGATTTCTCTGCTGCCTCCCTTTGATCTATTCCAGGATCCGTCCCCTGAAGAATTGCAGTGCTGAGCAGCCCCTAAGTAACATCCTCTGCTGTTGGAAGGGAAAAGACAAGGTTCAGAAGCCTGTGCCTGGCAAGTAAGGAGTTTCCCTTTTAAATACTGATCAGAAAACAGAATAATATAATCTTCTTTTCTTAAGCGAAGTGCGGAAGGGAGGAAATGGTGCATCTCAGAAGAGATCATTAGAAAAAGAAAGAAATAGGCATCTAAATTGCACAAACATCTCCCCAGGCAACGTCAGAAGATAAATTCACAAATACTGTCAGATCAATATCAGAACTGTGTAATGCAGACAAAGAAAAATGAACCAAGGCCAGCAGTGGGCGGGACAAAAGAAAACAAAGCTACCAAATACTAACTTACATATCCCAATGCAAGGCAGGGGGAAACCTTTCTCCTTTTCTCCTGAGAGGGACATTTAATGCAGGAGTTGAGAAATGGAGGCGGGAGAAGAGCTGGGCTTCCTATGCAGCCTCACTTAAACTTGGGTCTTTTTTTGGGGGGGGGTATTTCAGTGTTGAAACAAATGCAGTCCCAAGGGGTCCGTGCATGTTAAACCGTATGTTGCATTAAATCGTTCCCTGTAGTGGCTGGTGACCTGCAGACAGCTCTCCATCTGCAACAGCTCTCCATGTGGGTTTCTATAGATTTCCTTCAAAGGGCTGCACTGGCCTGACAAAGCCACCCCCCACACACCTTTGTGCAGCACTGCAGCACTACAGAGTTGTGACAGAGAAAGCTGGGCATGCAGAGGCAGCTACCATGGACAGCAACTGAGAGCACCAGCTTCATGTCTAGTGGCCCAAGGGAGAAAAGCAAAGCACAGCTCAGAGTCCATTGCCTGCTCCTTAAAATGTCACCAGAGTGGGGTACAGCCTAGCCTTTATGCGCCCTTTCAGAACTACCCACAGTTAAGCAAGAGTCCCTTTTCTGCGAAGCTGATGTCATGCAGCTGAGGGTTGCTTGCAACAGAATGTCAGAACCACCTGGGTGGGGCTTTCTCGTGCCATGTGATTTTGGGGCAAGCTTACACTATTGGCCTCGCCCATGAGTGTCATTTAGATGCAACCCCCAGCTATGTGTAGTTGTTTTATGCAAAAGCGTCTCCCACATGGCTGCGGATATCCCCCTCCTCCCCCCAAAAGGCACCTTAAACTCTTGCCTTTCTGCCAAACCCAACAGCCAATAAATAATGCCATGGCCGTGCCTGAGTCTTGTTATCTCAGTACTTAGTCATCTTATTTAATCCATTTGCCCTGGGTGACGCTCACTATATCTGGTTGCCTGGTAAGAGGGGGGAAATGACTCTTTCAAGGTGGCTGGGAGAGATTAGAGAGTATTTATTTAAAGCAAAGTTGTAGGTCACTGGGAAAGTGTAGCTATTCCCTTCTAAATTTGCTTCCAAGCTCACGTTGCCATTTGGTTACATCCCCCCTCCCTCTTTAAGGCAACATTTATCTGCAAATTCTGCCCTTCCTGAGATACTGTAGTAATTAATAATGCTGCATCAAATGCTACACGTGCTTATGAACTTTGCCATTCTATAGATTGTCCATTTGCTGCAGAAGAGCTGTGTGGAATCTTAAATAAACCCTCACTGTTTCATTAGACCTAGCAAAATTATGTTAACATGCATATCACCCTCTTCCACCCTAGGTTAGGTTTTTGCATTACACCACCGAACAAATACATTTTATTCCCATTCTGTAAGGGAAGAAAATGAGAATGATGAAAATTAAATGTCTTGCCATGGGCCACACAGGAATTCATTAGCAGGGCCGGCAACAGGAGCCAGCTGCCGAGCCTCCTTCCCATGCTTCATCAGTCCAATTTAGCATTAGTGCCAAATCAATTGGAAGCTATTTTGACCTTATTTGCTCAGGACTGCATAGCAGTTTTAGCTGGAGGCCACAGCCATCGTAGAAACAGTAAAACAAAAAAGGTAAACCCCTAAACCCATGTATGCATATGAGAATCACTCTTGCCAAAAGAAGCACATGATGCATTTATGAGAAGTTCTACTCCATTTAAGAATCTCCTCCCCCCCCCAAAAAAAACTTCAAACAACCTTGGATATTTCCTAAGATTTGAGAGTAGGAACCTGCCTTGGGGAAGGGGAGATTTTTCATTATTTGTTTAATTTCACAAGATTTATATACTGCTTGGTTGTGATAAAACTTCAAAGTGGGTTATAAAAAGAATAAAACTATCCAGGGCTCTTCCACACTTCTGCTACCCCTGCCACTTCTCACTGTTTAGTGCTGAATCAAAGCAAATGTCAACCGGGTTTTCTTTGGATTGATGGTTGCTCCGATTTAGCGCTAAGGTTTTCTGGGGTAAAGTGTGTGGGGGGGTAAAGGCAAAACCACTCAGACCTGTGCTTTCTAAGCATGGGACAAATGGAAATGTGGATGAGCCCAAAATTATCAGAAAAAAGCAGTGCAAAACAACTCTTTAAAACATTCCAAAAAAAAATACTAATTAAAACCAACAATAAGCTAAAAACCAGATTAAGACACACACCAACATTCTACTTGTCAGAATAGGCTTGCCTAAACAAAAATGTTATTCACGGGTGCCAAAAATAGTACAGTGGTACCTCGGGTTAAGAACTTAATTCGTTCCGGAGGTCTGTTCTTAACCTGAAACTGTTCTTAACCTGAAGCACCACTTTAATTAATGGGGCCTCCTGCTGCCGCCGTGCCGCTGCTGCACAATTTCTGTTCTCATCCTGAAGCAAAGTTCTTAACCCGAGGTACTATTTCTGGGTTAGCGGAGTCTGTAACCTGAAGCGCCTGTAACCTGAAGCATATGTAACCCGAGGTACCACTGTTCAGTGAAGTCACCTAGCAGATGTCAAAAGGAAGGGAGTTGCAAAGTGTGGGTGCTGCCATGTTAAAAGACTGATTTCGTACAAATGTGGGATGAGTATGATGTGGTTCCTGCAGCAGTTTTGCAGATTGAAGTGGTGCAGTGGGCATATATGGAGGAAGGTGCTCTCACTTAACTAGTACGGAAAAGTGCTATGTGGACAGGTCACTGGTTGTGCTGAGTGAAAAAATCATTATAATAGATGTACAGGTGGTGTTTAGATGGTAGGTGGATTCCTGGATGAATTGAAGTGGAGACAATCCCACTGGAGGATGAGTCTATTGGTTTCAGTAAAACCCTTTATATCATCCTAAATTTTGCTGTGGGTGCCATAAAACAGAGCAGATCCTGAGAAATCATTTGTAAAACTGAAATGAACCAAAATCACAACCCTGCCATGCTCACCTTCTTCACTAAGAATTTGCTTGCATGTTGTATTTTAGTTCAAGGTAACAGGTGATATATTGGTTTAGCCCCTTACAAAACTCCATGGTTTATCTCTGTGATCATAAAGAGCCCTGTATGTCTGGCAATGGCTTAAATCATGAACCCAGCTACAGATGTTAAGCATGAACTCTCTTGACAAAGTACAAGGCCTCTTTGCAAATAAATATACTTGTTTCTATGCTGGCTGCAGTCTAAGCCCTGAGGGGCTGTATTTACCCATTAGTTATGTGTTGTGGTTATGATATATTCACTGCTCTCGCAACCAATTTTTATTCCTGTCATCTTAAGTTCTCGCCATGTTGACAGTTTATCTTCCACTGTATTTCAGCCCATGTGTATCCATGCATACCTCTTTCCCTGGTAATTTTATGCATCTAATAAAGTAGGCTATTGCCTATGAAAGCTCATGCCACAGTGAATCAGTCCCTTAAGGGGCAGCATCACTTTTTGTCATCTTGGTCTTATGAAAATGGTCTTACGAAAATACGAAAATGCATCTTTATGAAAATGTGTAATGTAGCCTACTAAAGATGGTAGTCTAACACAATATCATATAGGATACAGTTTGGTACAAACCATGCACAATGAAGCGGTGAAAATAAATTCATGGTAACAATCTCATAGGTTTACCTATAGGATCTGTGTGTCCCTTGGTGTCTAAAGTAATTGTCATCATCTTGTTCCCCTCTAGAAATCCCACTGGGGAATAATCCATATGAAAAATATTGGAAAATCCATAATTCTGTTGCAAATCTTGGCATGTGCATGGGTCCCCTTCAAACACCAGTAGTGTAAAGGCAGTATCATACAACTACTGAAAAATGCAACTTTGTCTCTTGCACTGGGCATCCTGCTGGCATGTGAAGAGGCCTATGTGTGTGCAGCTTCCACATAATCAGGATAGGGAAGGGCCATAAATCAGTGGGAGAGCATCTGCTTTGCATTCAGAAGGTCTCAGGTTCATTTCCAGGTAGGGGTGGTGATGTCCTCTGTCTGAACTGCTGCCAGTTATTGTGAATTCATTGGATAAATGTTGGAGGGTATGGAATAGGATGTCTTTATTTTCACTGAAGAAAAGTTGGAGGGTATGACTAATACTGAGGGAGATAGATCAACGGTCTGGTTCTGTATAAGGCAGCTTCCTGTGTACTTTCAAAGAAGGACTCAACTTTGCAGAAGCCATGCTCAA